AAATAGACAGAAAATTTAAAGTTATGTTTTTGATATTTTTATAGTATTTAACTAAGGTGTTCAATTGTAATTAGACTAATTTTTTATTACAGATCTTTTTTGCATACTTTAAATTATCACTATTTTAGTTTAGTTACTTTTTTAATTAAATTACTGCAAATTAAATATAATAATTTTGATATTGTTTATCTCTTAAAAAGCCTTACTTGTATAACACTTTATGTAATAAAATTTTTTATAATATTACTATTACATATAATGTCTATTCTTTTTAAAGTTGATCTTCTGATAATTTATAATTTATTTTAGTACTTTATCTTAAGACTTTTTACAAGATTTTATATCTGATTTAGTTTCTATTTTTAGTTTATTGAATTTAAAATTTTTAATAATATGTAAAGGATTAGCAGCTTTACTATTAAGCTATAGAGTTCAATTTTTTTATAATAAGTATTAATTTAATAGTTTTTTTTATAATACTTCTAATAATATTTGTTTATTATCTAATTCAAAAATTTAAACATTAATTTATTATATTATATTATTTTGAACTAATTCTTAATAATCTAATTTTTATACTTTTTATAAAAATAAATTAAAATTTTTAATAATTATTATATAGCTAAATCTTTTTTATTTCTAATACTAAACTATAGCTATAATATATCTAATAAATAATAGATATTATTTTTATTAATTTTAAAATAGGTTCTTATATTATTTATTATTTTTTTTTTAATTTATCTTTTTAAATTTACAAGATTATAGACAAATTAATATTATAAACCCAATCTACTATTTTGATAATATATATTTTTTAAAAAAAGCAATATTTGAACTTGTTAAATAAAAATTGTACAGTTTTTTTTTTTAGCTTGATTATTAATTAATTCTAACAATATACAAGATACAAAATCAACAATAAAACTTATATTTATATATGTATTTATATAACAAATTATATAATCTAATCTTTGTTAAAAACAAACAAAAATAATACATGTTTTTATATATGTGATTATTTTTGCATTAACAATAATAATGACTACTAATATTCTAGAATTAAAAGACAAATAAAAAACAATTTTAATGAATATGTCTGAAAATGTATAAGATAATATGATCTAGACAAACAATTTTTTTTATTGCATTATTTATAATTACTAGTGTACTTAACTTCAATACTAACCTTAACCCTAACTTAATGAAGATTTTTTGGTATGCTGCAAATTATCCGGACGATCATCCGGATCTGACCTGATATAATTTTTTCCTATGTCTCTCACTTCCGTATTTGTCTAATTCATTTACTTTCCATAAATGTATCGTCATAGCCATGTTAATCTTACCTTTATAATATTAGGCATTCTCGTCGTTATGTCTTAGTGACTTAACCCATGTGAATTCCCCTAGTCGCGTATACGTTCTTGCATAACGCTAACCCTAACTTGAAGATTTTTTGGTACGCCGAAAATTATCTGGACGATCATCCGTACCTGACCTGGTACTATAACGAATAATTTTTTCCTGTATCTCTCACTTCCGTATTTGCTTAATTCATTTACCTTCCATAAATGTATCGTCATAGCCATGTTAATCTTACCTTTATAATACGTATTAGGCATTCTCATCGTTATGTCTTAGTGGCTTAAACCATGTGAATTTCCCCTAGTCGCGTATACACTCTCGCATAAACTTGATAGAATGAGTTGCCTGTGAGAAAGCATGTGTGATTCAGAGTTATGACATAGATGCTATATGCTTTGCATAGACCTTATAAGAAATGAGAATGTATTTAAAGGGTTGCTTTTGCCCTTAACTTAAAAGGAATAATGCTCTCTGAAATCGTCTCTAAATAAATAATACATAAACCTACATTCTTTTATATAATAAATGCCTATTAATCATGTAAAATCCGAGTTCCTTAATTGTCACCATGCACCACATCTCTCTTACGCCAACCATCGGAGTTAAACTCGGCATGATTGTCGGAAGCTCTCCCGTTCGATGGTGACAATACACATTTTTTGGGTATCGTTCACACGTCAATTTAGGATCACATTATAACATTTACAACATTTGAATTATCAAATTTCTACATATAATAGAACTATGATGTCATGGTCCTAAATAGCTAAATGTATTGTTATCGTTCAGGCACAAGTATATATAATTTTAATGGAATAACTTGGTTTTGCATTAGGACAACCCCTGTGAACTTGTAGGATCTATTTAATAATTTCACAAGTGACTCCTTCAACATTGATTATCTCCAAATTTTTTTTTTTTGACTAAAATTATAATCCGAAATGTCGTTAAAATTGTTTGAAAAACTTTCCATCAATTATCTTGAGCTCTTGGATGACGAGGATGATTATAATGTAATAATTAATGTTGGCCGATCTCCAGATGTTAGAACCTTCAGAGCGCATTCTGCAGTTTTGAGGCATAGATTTTTATATTTTCGTAATGAACTAGCAAACCTTGACAAAAATAAGGATAATATTAAAACGGTTAAGTTAGATAATGTCTCTATCCAGCAATTTAAAATTATTATCAAGTAAGTATATAATAACCATATTTATAGTCTTACATAAACTCTTAAATGCTATTTAAAAATGTTAAAAGTATGTATTAATACAAAAAAATTTAATTAAAGGTATATATATGGTGACTAGTTCCTTTAGAAAATGTTGATGCATCATTTATTTTTGAGCTTATGCTTATTGCTTCTGAATTCCTTCTTGAATAATTGGCCAAAACTCTTGAAACTTATTTAATCTAAACCAAAGCTTCTTGGCTTCGTTTAAAGTTTCATCACGTTTTAAAAAAAGTTTCCAAAATATCAAATTTCAAGAATTACAAAAATGGTGCAATGATATTTTAATAAAATATCCTGATAAGATTTTAATTCTGAAGACTTCATTTCGCTTCCAGAAAATGCATTAATCTCACTTATTAGTCGTGATGATTTACAAATGGACGAAGTAAAGATCTGGAATCGTGTTATTGAATGGGGAATTGCTCAAAATCACGGTCTTTCATCTGATCCTAAAAACTGGACACCCGAAAATTTATTAGCATTAAAGGCAACTTTACAAAATTGTTTGCCTCTTATTCGTTATTTTCAAATATCTGGAGATGATGTTATTGATAATTTACAACCATATCAACAAATTTTGGATAGAAGTCTATGGGATGATATAATTAAAAAGCTTGTATCTCCGAATAGACAGATATTATCAGAAATTCTTCCACCTCGTATAATTTTAACATCAACATTATCAACTAGAAAAAAAGAACTATTTTCAAAATTTATTAATGAATCACATGCAGCCGAAATAGCTTCATGGATTGATAGAAAAAATAACATATATTCCGCAACAAATAATCCTTATGAATTTAAATTACTACTTCGTGGAAGCAGAGATGGTTTTACTAAAGAAACATTTTGGAATTTATGTAACAAGCAAGAAAATATTATTGTGGTCATGAGGTTAGAGGCACTGACGAAGTTCTTGGTGGATATAATCCTATTGGATGGGAAACTTCAAGTTCGAATATCATAGTAAAAAATTGTGATAATAGTTTTATATTTTCGTTAAAAAATGATAATATTAAACGTTCTATTTTAAGCCGCGTAAATAGGCCAGAATGTGCAATTGAAAATGATCCTAATTATGGACCACTTTTTGGACACATGCCTTGTGTTCTTGTAATGCAAGATAATTTTAACCAATATCATTCCTGTTGGTGTTACCAAGGGCCGTCGTATGAAAAACGAATTAGGAACAAATCCACATACGAACATGAAGCTTCACAATTTTCAGTGGATGGTTATGAAGTATTTCAGATTAATAATACATAATTTTGATTTGCTAAATGGCTTCAACAAATATACATATTTGGTACTTATACGATAAATTCATATTGATACCTTAAATTTTATATGTATAGAATTTTTTTTTTTTAAACTAGCGATATAATATTTCAGAATTTTTATTAATTTTCAAATAACCAACATTTCCGAAATTTGACCTTAACTCCAAAACCTTACTGAAACATATTACAACATATAGTTACTAAATATCATGGATTCATTTTATGTAAATGACATCAGAATACATGAAACTATAAGATTTTCTTTATTTTTTCATAGCTTTGTTTATAAATTCCGTAATAAAAAAATGAGCATATTTTGTTTTAAAGATTTTATTTAATGCGGTCGTATAAGTGAAAACAATACAGAATTACAGTCGGAATACTGTGATAATTTGATTAGTCATATAAAAATTGATAAGAGCTATTAAACTAAAATATAAAAACTGATAAGGAACTTATATGAAATTTACGATTACTGATGAAATTATGATTTTTAAACACTTGAATTCAAAACTCACAAAATTTAAATATATCTACATTATACTTCTCCTTGTGTACTTCCCTACAGCTATAACAAAACATGATCAGAAATAGTTTTTTTTTAATATTGGCGAATCTATTTGTCTTCGATCCAAGCCAATCAGATTGCGCGATTTAAATTTCTCAAAAAAATTTAAAATCAAAAATAGCGCTTATGAAACCCACATTTGCGCCTTAAGAAAAAACATTCCTTGCATAATTTTACTATATATCTAACATTATGACTTTTCTAACCCTAAATATAACCTAAATAAAACCCGGGTGCTGTCACTGCCGGCACAGGTAGATTATTCCTTTAATATCTTTTTAATTTATAATATCGAAATTAATACAAATATTAACTTGACACAAATTATTAAAGAATAAGTATTGAACATTTGATTAAAAATATTTTTAATATATTTAAACGTACAAGTTAATACATTTTGCATCAAGATCTCAAAATATAGATGATACCAAATTATTTGAGTTTGAAATTACAAAAAAAAAAGTACATATCGATATGACAAATGTAAAATAAATAACAAATAATAAATAAGAATATTTTAGTTGACTATAGAGGACGGTTAAGTTAATAACTAAAATTCGGGAAAATCATCATCTTTCCATATAATTGTAACATCTCTAATAGCAGCATTATGTAGTCCTTTAAAAGTTTTTTCATAAGATCCATTTTTAAATGGTCTATCAAAAGGATATCCTAAAGGTCTAGCATCAGGAATTCTATCAGCCCATTTTTCACCACCACATAAAACTGTACTTCCACACTGATCATAAAGTGGGACCATATCATTCGTACCATCAGAAATAAATACTATCAATTTAAATTTTATTCCTTCACCTTTAGTACCTCTAGGTAAAATCATATGATATGGCCATCCACAATTACAAAATGCTTTTTCGGATTTAGCTTGAACGGTGAGAAGTAAATTGGCTTTTTTCATACTAGGAGTAATCTGAGATTCATCAAATTCACTTTCAGTTTTTTGAGCTGGTTTACGAATTATTATAGATTTATCACATTCACGAACGATAACTGCTTTTTCAAGGGGTTGGAGAATTGCTTTAAATTTATCTAATTCTATCCAATGTACCCTTGAGTCAGCATATACTTCAGGAACAAAGAATATACGAAATGTAATAGTTGAAGTCTTTTCTCCAAATAAAAAATTGATATAAAATAAAAATTAATTTTGTAGGTTTATGGAGTGAGTTAAAGTATAAGCAAATACTCGTTCATTTAATACAATAATTAATAAAATCATACTCACAATATTAACTTCATTAGTGACACGTAGAAAATAATTCCATTCTCTAGGATATACGTAAGATATATTTTCTTTGGTAAATAAATCTTCTCTCCAGACGTACTCTCTATATTTCATTTTAGTATGAAATTCATTGGTAACAATTGGACTATATAGAAAATCAACATCAAAATTACTACCGCCAAAAGTTTTTTTTCCGAATTCACTCCATTTATCTTTTTGACCTGTAGGATAAACTTTGAGGAGTACATCTGTGAAAGAAAGTATGATATCAGTTTGACGAATAGTAACATTTGGTGCATCGTGATGAAAATCGGATGGCTCAAAACGATCTTGCCATCTCAATAATAAATCATCAAGATGACGATGCCATCTCCAAAATAATGGATCACGTATTCCGGCACGAGCACCGACAAGTACACTTGGAGGATCTAAAATTATATGAATTGTGAATTAAATCACTATTCTTAATATAAAAATTATTTCAAATCATAAGATTAAGATTAGATAAAATACTTACAACCAATTGTATAAGGATGCATCATATAACTAAACAATTCGTGACCATAATTATGTAAATTTGTTTCTACATCGAGAGCTAGCTTAGCAGTATCCGAATCAGTTAATTGTAATGGGGTCGGATATTCATCATTTGTTCCACCGTCAATCCATTCAATCACTGAAACTCGTAAACGTTCCATTTCCACAATCGTCCAGGTTTTCAATTTACCATCAACTACTTCAACTATTAATTTAAAATTTTGTAATTTAAATTTATCTTAATAAATCTGAATTATCCTTATGAATTCAACTTTATGAATTTGTTGAAATTTGTATAAAAATATATATATATTCTAATATTACCAATATCATGAAACGATTGATTAGCAGGACGGGCCGGGAAAGGAACTTTTTCATCATTCCAATCTTCTACTAAATATGGGTGAGGATAAAACGGTTCGGGTACTGGTGTTACATAGTCGGTTAAAGCTTTTACTTTTTCAATGTCGAGGCAAAGACGTTCTGCATCATATCTAATGAAAAAATTTAAAAATTTTAAATACAATGTGTATATATTTATAAATATATATTATTTTTTTTTTAAAAAAAAAAGGATATATTTATATATATATATATATTAACTTTATTACCTGGCTAACAAATGCCTATGCGTGTAAATGAAATTTTCACCTTCTCGATTCCTTGGTATACTGTCCGTAACAGTCATCATTACTATATGCCAGTGTTCATGAAATTCATTCAATACTGGATCATTCCTCCACCAAAACATTTTATCCAATGCAGGATCATAAACATCTTTGTCTGGCCATCCATTCGGATTAATTTTTGCTGGTGGAGGATTTCGAAAAATATATCTTAATTTAGTCAAACTTAATGCTAATTTCAATATTACATCTTCTGTCTCTTCTGTCGTTGAATTATTAAAAGTGGTATTAACGATTGGACTTGTAGTTGACGTATTAGATGTCAAATTAGACGTCAAATTAAATGTCAAATTAGACGCCAAATTAGATGTCAAATTAGATGTTAAATTAGATTCCAAATTTTGAGCATTTGTGTCTGTTTCCTCACGTTTAAATGTACGTTTTTCTTTTAATAATGATTGTGGGTTACGTTTACGAGTTTTTGGCATATATACTAAACCATGATAAGATAATTCATCTTCTAATGGATCAGCAGATCTTTTAATATATCTTTTGTGTTCAGGTTCATATGTAAAAGATCTTTTTGACTTATTTTCTAATACTTTTGCACAGTACTTTTAAAATATTAGAACTGAAAGATGAAGTAATTTATTGTATCATTTATAAAGATCAGATCCTTACCGGAGAAGTTTTACTACTTTCTTTATAACAAGTATCATAAGCTATATCATAGAAAAACTTTATTTCTTCCACCATCCTTTACTATTCAAAGAAATTTATAAAATCATTCCCTTTTCTCGGAAATAGAATATAAGAATGAGAATATAAAAAATAAAAATATAGAATTAAGAATTAAGAATCGTAGATAACATTGAAGAAAAAATTTTTGATAAGATCAGGGAATTCTCTTTTATCGTTTTAGTGGCTTTGTTGTTGAAAACATGCTCATAAAAAATATAATAATAAGTATCTCCAAATAAAACCTGAAATTTTATTTCTAAAGATTTCTATATTTTCATTTGACATTTATCATGTTAGTATATATACATTTCATCAACACATTTTATAAACATTAATTTATAGTGGCTAATCGTTTGACTTGACAGTGAGAAAAAAATAAACAATTCTTTATAAAAGTATATTTAATGTCATTTTACGCAAACTACTGAAAATTTCCATTTTTTTCTCTACAATTCGATTAACTTCCAAGTTTTAAAAGAAATTTCTTTATCTACATAAGTTTATAGAAAATACAGGAATTCGCGAAAAAAATCATTTATTTAAAATTTTAAATGTTTACGACTGCGCCTTTGACGCGAAACTCAACCTAGATTTTAATATATAATGAATGCGTAATTGGCTATTTAAGATCACATGATGTTTTTTAAAAAATTTTACATTATTATAATAATAATAATGATGATAATAAAATAATCTCATTCATCATGGTATTGACTAAGGTTTAACGAAGGTATGTGGCGCAAGCTATTTATTTGAGGCTTTGAAATAATACACGAGCTTTTTATTACTATTTGTTTTGACAAATGCATTAAGCCATCTCGAAATGTTCAAAAAAACTTTTTTTTTTGCGGCTTTGAGTTATGCCTGCAATCCACTATCACTATAATAATCAGCAAAATTAAACTATATGGTTAGACTTCAAAAAAGGTTTAAAGCTATAAAGTGTTATCAATTTAAAAAAAAAAATAAATTATGAAGCATAGTAATGTATTTTTTTATTAAAAAAGAATTAGTTTGGTATGCATGTTGAAAAAAACAGAATGGTTTCCGGATTCTGGATTTTGAACGGTTCAGAATAGG